GACCCTTTCAGTGCTTCATCTGTAAGTAATAGAAAAAATAAACCCACAACAACAACAGGAAAAAAAAAAGACCAAAACCCCCAAATGTCATCACCACAAAAAAAAATCCACCAAAAACTTTTCTTTGTTCTTAGTAACTGTGGGGCCTATGTTTGAGCACTACCTTTGTTCTGGCTTTAGAGGCCATACAACAAAAAATATTTGCATCTTTGAGGCTTATATGTAATATAACAGAGGGAATTTGTTGCAAGGTTAACAAGGTACTATTCTGTTTTGCTTGGCTTCACAACCAATTTCCCTGGCTGCAAACACTAGCAGAAAATTCTTTAGTATTGGGACCTTCTACAAAAGAGTATCAAATAACGTGGCTGCAGAAATATTCCGCTTTGTTTATATTTACCCCTCTTTAGAGAAGATAAGCAGTGTGAATTGTGAAACTTTCTAGCTGAACAAATGGGAAGTTCCATGTTCAGTGTTCTGTGAGGGAGGAAGTGGCTTCATCAGATCACTCTACTGGGACACAACACTTGAAGCCCTCGGAAGAAATTCTGGATCAGTTCCAGAGTGCTGACTTAAAACCTCTAGAATTTCACTAAAAGGTATCTTGTCATGTCTCCACTGGCTCCAAAGGAGTGTTCAGTAGTGTACATGATTTTCTGAAAATTACCTTGCCCTAGACTAGCTTAACTGCTACCACAGCTTAAAGCCCTCTTCTTTTGTTGAAGCAGTACAGTAAATGCACATTTAGCAGGAGCTCTGAAGTCTTCTCTCCAGGTGTTAGGAACAGGAACTAGCTAATAGAGCCATTTAGAGGAAATCCGGTAAAAACTGGAAATCCACTAACAGCTTATCTCTCTTTCTTTAGAAGGAATCTCAGAAACCACCTTCTGCTCATTTTGGTGATGATTTTGSCAATCCATTTGCATAGATCAGGTAAGTCTTCTGCTAATAAACCAACCTATTTCATTCTCTGAAATTTATTGATGAAATGTTTGGTAAAGAGACAGCTAAAAACTGTGGTAGGTTAACACTAATGCTCTCTGAAGTATGGCAGACAGTGCTTGAAGGAACACTTCTGCTAGAGTACTTCTATCAGAGTTGTACATAGCTGCATTCTGTCTAAGCCTAGCCAGCTTCACTTTCTTAAAAATAAAGACTTTATTCTTCCACAGACTTAATTCTCAAGCCCACAGTAGATCTAGATTTCCTTTCCTTGAAGAAAATTAATGACTAAATATGTGCAGCAAAACTCAGAGGGGCTGACTTCAATATCTTCAGGTATCTCTGGGAGAGTGTTATCATAGAGTGCCCTGTATACAGCATAGAGCTTTCTGAAGTTTAATCACCTCAACAACTGCAGTTTTGGACTCTAGATAAATTGGAGTAAAACTAGAATAAGGCTGTTAGACTCTTGCTATGATTTTTAATCAAAAGCTGTTATAAGAGCTTTTTTTTTTTAATAGAAACTGCTGTAATTTAAACTTTCATAGCATTGACTGGAGAGCATGATCTGTTGATCCATCAAATCTCCCATACCTCTAAGTCTTGCCTTGAGATACTGTCTAGCTTCTGACAGAAGACAAGTGTTGGAATTTATTACTTATATACTGAGAGTTTATAAGCAAGTATGCTTATAAACTGAGAGTTTTGCTCTCAGTGGCTTTGTTTAAATAAAGCTATAACTTATAGCCATGCTAATACTGCATCCTTTCCATCATAYTAGGCATAACCAGAAAAGGACAAATGGAATAACTGGACCTCTTCTCAACGTGATTTTTCTACGTATTTCATTTTGCTGTCTGCTATTCTTGCTGTCGTTYTCATGATGTCTGCAATCTAAAACATATCCAGGTGGATTGAAGCATGAACCCTCAAAGAACATGCTGTGAAGATGATAATTCAGGGCAAAGCAAATGGGGATATTGACTCACGCTGGAAACCCAAATTTAAATTGGTGAATGTTACCTTTACTTTAGTTCTTTGCACTCCTCTACAGAGAGGTTAGGAACACTGAGTCAGCTGTCTTGTACCATTTCCCTTTTCATAGCACTTACCGTCCCAAAATAGAGGAACTTAATGTACCTAGGGAAGAGGTATTGTCTTTGCATAAGGGTGTTGAATTAGTAGCTAAAGCTCAATACTTCAATCAACTAGGTCAGTTGCCTGTTATGACAGCAGCAACCAGTTGTAAGWGTTAAGTGGATGCTACTCAGCTGTAATTGGTGACTGGACAGATGACTTGGTCTCTTAGCCACAAAAGTGTAACTATGTGTAGAGGAAAATAATCTAATATAAGTCTATTTAACTAAAAGTAAAAGTATCATTCTGCCATAAAAGTGTCATTAAGGGACTGCGGAGTCTGTAACAGCASTGCTGACGCCCTGACTACTAGAGGCCTACACTGTAAACTGAAAAACTTTTTCCAGAACTTTTAGGTAGTTGTGGACACTAACTGTTGTCTTGGTGCTAAAGTGGCATTTTTCAGGGAGGGAAGTCTACTAGGATTACTTCTCTATTAAGGTGGCTTGGCAGACAAATGGAACAAGCAGGTAGGGTTCTTGCATATATCTCTGTGAATCTCTGATGTTCTCAGTGTGAGTTGTCTCAGGTTGTACTGGGGTATGTTTCCAGCATGTTAGAAAACAAAAGACCATAATGGCTTCACTCCATGCCTTGGCTCCTTGTGAACAGATGCACCACCTCTGTGCCATTAATGTGATGTAGTATTCTATCTCTTGAAAAACATATCTTTTCTCAAGAACATCTTTGCTAACAGATTTTTGAACCACCTGCCTGCAACAGCTACGTTCTTGGCCAGTGGTGATGACTGATGTGTCAGAAGTTTTTCTGTTAATGCTAAATATAAACTTGAAATGTTACTGTTAAATCAACTGCCTAAGCCGTTGGTAAACTGGAGAAAGTCAACTTGAATACAGCCTTAGTACCCAATTCAGCCAGGCATGCGATTAGTCTTGTATACAAACTTCTCTTGCACTTTCTTTAATGCAAATTAAAAAAAAAAAAAAAATCACAAATATTTGTCTCAAACTGGAAATGTAGAAACTTATTGATGTTACACTGTCATATAAAACTGTAGTATCTGTTACTTAATGACATTAAAAAGAAGCAACTCTTTATACCAAATGAACATCAGTGTGGTTGTTGATTCTGTCCTCTGTAACTCCATTTTGTGGTCTAGTTGGCACTAGAAGTTCAAAGCCTGCTAAGAATCATTCCTCACAGGTTCTGTAGCTGTCTGATGCAAACTGTTTTTCAGTAACTTCTTGCATTGGGCTGGTTCAACAAGCGCTGTGCCACATTAAATCTCCAACTGATTTAGTAAAAACTGTCACTAAAACTTTCTCCCTTTTGGCTGCTCAGCCTGAGCTTGTTGCTACTGAAGATGCTTTCCTACTTCTTTCTGCAGGACCACGGAAGTTGGGTACTTAAATTGCATTGCACTCAGAAGTTTCAATAATTCAGCTTGTGCATTCCAGCTTTGCAGGAAGYCTAATYGGATGCTGGGAAATCTCATTTAGAWCATATTCTCACATTCAGAAGAAATTATATAACTCCTTTAATAGAGATAGCTAAAAGGAAAATCCRTTAGTAAGCTGCTGTTTTAGACTATCCTGCTTATTTCTAACATTGTTTGAGGGTTACGGGATTACAAACAACTCCTTGCAAGAGATTTGTTTCCTTGCTTGAAATACAGGTCTTGAGGGGCACACAGTCACAGTTCTTTGGGKTTTTTTTATCTTTTTAACTGAATGGCAACATGCAAAAAAGGACAAGTATCTGTCTTAATGCCCATATGAAGGAATATATTTACCAGCCTTTGAGTTAAGGATTTAAATCACTGGTGGGCAGTCCTAGATTTTGAAATGGCCATCAAGATAATCACTCAATGCTTGTTAGCAGGACCTCTTACATCCAAAAATACTTGTTGGTCTGCTAGCTTACTTTGAATAGCTGTTCACTCTGCCTTTAAAAAGCCATGAACTGTGATAGCAGCTATAATGAAAGGATACAATATTACAAGTGTCTGTGTCTTTGATTCTGCAAGAATGCATTAATTTAGTGTAACTGGATTCATCAAGCTGGACTGAGGCTGCAGCAGATAAAAGTTCCTTTACATTAAATAATCACACATAAAGGCTTGACTAGGGGGGAAAATTTGCTCTGCCTCATTTTACACACTTCCCTCAGCCTGCCACAAAAAGCAAAGAACAGAAAAAATTAAAAGTACTTTTTTTTCAGTTAGCCAGGGTTTTTTGAAATATCTTGACCCTTGATGATTATTTTAAGATTGCATCCAGATATGTAATTCGTAACAGCTAAACAKCAGGTTATTTATGACTGACTTCAGATTATTTATAAGCAACTTTTGTCTTGTGACTCTGTCCAACACATGATGCTTTAAATCTGGATTACAGCAAACTACTGGAAAGGAATGCCTTTTAAAGAGCTAGCTTGTGGTTTGGGGTTTTTGTGACAGAGTGAAAGCTAGAAGAGTTTKAGTCTCATTGGCACTCACAAAAAATATTGTGTTGTTCTTTTATATTGGCTGGGGGAGGATTAAAAAAAGAATCTTGGGACTTTAGTCTTCCAATACTCCAAACGAGGATTCCAAAGATGTTCTACCCTGAATTTGCTCTTGTAAACAGCTCTAATTTAGGAACTATTTGTTCTTTACATGAGTCATTGTTATGACAGCTTTTTTACTAGGCAGTTAATGGTTCTCTTAATTCAATACATAATGTCTTTCCTATATTCAAAAGGTATTGTTAAACAAAATTGTTTTATTTTTAACCTTGCAATTGCTTCACAGTATTTTCCTATTCAGGAAAAAACTGGAACTTTCTGAAAAGTGGACTTTAGAGCACTTACAGTAAGACAGTTACTGCCCAGTTACTGGCATTCTTCAGTAAACACTGCKTTTTGTTTGTTCTCTTGGTAATAAATAACCATTGGTCATAAAAGGAACAAATAAATAAATTATAAATTCAGTCACAACAATTCCAGTCTATTCACCTACAAAATGAGAATCATACTTGTTATCCTGCCACTTACAGCCATACTCTGCAATGCAGAGACAGTTGCCTCACTTTGGGGAGAAAGCGTAAGGTAAGTGTTCTTTGTCTTCTGRTGCCGTTCAACTGTTCTGTTTCTCTAACACAGAGCATAAACATTCAATGTGGACATTTCTAATGGTAGATTGCTCAACTAACCTATGGAAAAGAAAACTACTTGCTGTACTTGAAGTCAGATAGAAACGTTTACTTATTTGTTTATTTTGTATATATGTGACACAATAAAGATGACTGACAGCAGTTGAAGCCATATGTTTGCAGGCAGGTAAAGCTCAGGTACCTTCTTTCATTGCATGCCRAGTGTAAAAATACCTGATTCTATTCCTTTCTGGAGATGAACAGTTTTATACTGACACTACTTCTCCTAATACTTAAAGTCTCCTAGACTGCCTATTTCTAATACCTGGAAATACAGCCTCTGTGTTTTCAGTCGAAGTACCACTAGGAGGAGAACAAAGGCCTAGTCCCTACTGAATGACCATGTGAAAAAAAACTAAAGCACTATTCTATGAATCATTTACAAAAATGGTCAAAACTAAGTGATGAAAAAATGTGATTCTCATAACAGTTATATGTTGAAGAAGTCCAGAGGAAGCCATGAAGATAGTAAGACTGATGTAYCTCCTCTACAATAACAGGCTCAGAAAATTTGGCTGTTCAGCCTGGAGTAAAATAGGCTGTGTGGAGACCTGAGAGCCTTCAAACCTTAAAGTATTTGAAGGTGCCCTCCAGGGAACCTGGAGAAGGACACTTCACCAGGAACTGTAGTGATAGGACATGGAATAATAKATACACAATGAATGAGGTGAAATTTAGGTTAGCTACCAGGAAGTTCTTGCTGTGGGGGTAGTGAGAGTCTGGAGGAGGTTGCCCAGGGAGGTTKTGAATTACCAGCCCCGGGAGTATTCAAAGCCAGGTTAGATAAGACTTTGAGCAACCTGGTCTAGTGAGAGGTGTCTTTGCACATGGGCAGGAAACGGTCTTAAAGATCCCAGTTGTGCATAGGGACACCTTCCTCTAGACCAGGTTGCTCAGATTTCCATCCAGCCTGGCTTTAAACACTTCCATGGATGGGGCATTCACAACACCTCTGGGCAACCTGTGCCAATGCCTCACTATCTTCACAACAAAGAACTTTCTCCTAATACCTATTCTAAATCTACTCTCTTTTAATCTGATCCCCCTAATCCAGTCATTCCATGCTTTAGTAAAAAGCCCCTCTGCATCTTTTCCTGTAGGCTCCCTTCAGGTATGGGATGGCTGCAGTGAGGTCACCCCTAAGCTGCCTCTTTTCCAGGCTGAACAATCCAAATTTTCTCACCCTTTCCACACAGGAGAGRTGCTCCATCCCTCTGATCATCTTTGTGACTTCCCCTGGACTCTCTCTGAGAAGTCCATCTCTTTCCTGTTTGGAGGGCCCCAGGGCTGGATGCTCCAGGTGGGTCTCAGCAGAGCRGAGCAGAGGGGCAGAATCCCCTCCCTCCCCTGCTGCCCACRGTGCTCTGGGTGCAGCCCAGGACACRTTTGGCTCTCTGGGCTGTGAGTGCCATGGCCGGGGCATGTCCAGCTCTCACCCAGCAGCACCCCCAAGTCCTTCTGGGCAGGGCTGCTCTCAGTCTGATAATGCCCAGCCTGGGCTGRTRCCAGGGATTGTCCCTACCCAGATGCAGCGACAGCACTTGGTCTTAAACCTTGTGAGACTCCTATGCGAAACTTCTCAAGCTTGTCCAGGCCCCTCTGGATGGCATCCCATCCTTCAGGGGTGCCAACAGCACCACTCAGCTTTGTTGTCACCTGCTTGTTTACTCGATTCCTTCATAATGAAGGAATATCATTATCCATATAATTAATGAARATATTAAATAACACTGGTCATGGTATGGACTCCTGACGGAACACTTGTCACTCATGCCCACCTTGTCACTCATGCCCACTGGGACTCAGAGCCATTGACCTCTAACCTCTGAATGTGACCATCCATTGTCTTATCCATCTAGCAGTATAGAATTGAATCCAACCCCTCCAGAGAGAAGAATGTTATGGGGGACCATGTCAAAGGCTTTACAGAAATCCAGATAAATGACATGTGCAGTCTTTGCCTTGTCYACTGATGGAGTCATTCCACCATAGAAGACCACTAGATTGGTCAGGCACTTGCTCCTTATGTTTGGGTGGTTATTACTATTTCAACATTCAGGACCAATGAAAGYGCAAGTTTAGTATGTTCAGTTAGAAACAGTCCAGCCAGAAGAGATGATTATTAGAGAGAAGCCATAGCAACAACATTGAACAGCAGCTTGGCTCTCCAGCATAGCATATGCATATGCAGCTTGATGATGCTGCTACCAACTACAGTCGGCAAAGTGATGTTCTCACATGATACTGTTGTATCTTCAAATTCAACAGAGACATGCCTTATTTCTTGGCCAGTGGTAATTATTAAACCAAGACTTTCCTTGAGTCATCTGTTTTGTAATTGATGAAGTCAACAGCACCCAAGTTTGAAGTATGAGTCAACAACAAATCACCAGCACTGTGTGGCCYGAGGGTATACAGTGCAACCCAAGASGAGGTGAAAACAGTTCTGTGTATGGATTGTGAAATGGCTTTWGCTTTCCAAAGAGTGTTCTTCTATCCCTCAAACCTCTCAATAAAGCATGCCATAAAGATTTCCATGMCCATCTCTGAAGTTTGTGCACTCAACTGTCAATGGTGGCCTTCAGTAGCAGAATTGCTTTTATCACCTCTCCTATTTAAATTTTGTGATTTAGTTTCAATGTAGCTTTTCAGTAACATTTTTTTTCTTGAGATTAATGTGGAGGTGACAAGTTGCAAATTTTCTTAATAACTTGGGTTTTCTAAACAATGTTGTTGAATAATGTCCCTCTGCAMTCCCAGATAATCTGGATAACGGATGCCTTAGTGTTGTTTCAGAGTTTGTGAAATATTTGAAAAGAGATTTTGCTGATTTTTTTTCTTTTTATTTCTCTTTCTCTAACATCAAATAAATTCAAAACCCTAAAGCTGCACCTGCAGCAAATCATGTGAACCTCACACTGGAGAAGCTGGAGAAGGCCCATGGGTGTGTGTACATCAGTCAATGAATATTCTTGCAAAAGTTCCTAAATTTGGATTATCATAAAATGATAGAATCACTTAGGTTGGAAAAAGTCATTAATTGTGTGAAAAACTTTGCCCCCTGAAAGTGAGTCAGAGAGTACCAYCAATTCTGTTTTGCAGACAGCTGATGGCACAACTTCCATCTGCATTGGAAACGTCAGCTCAGTCTTTTCTTTTAGACTCTAAATAATGACTTAAAACAACCTCTGTGAGAATCTCTAGGACTTGAAGTAGCTTGAGTCTGATTGCTTCTTTAGACACACGGCTTGCTTTGCACGATTCAATCTTATTGCCTGTAAGGGCTTTTGGCTGTAGTTTTATGGTAATAATTTTGTTGAGAAATATATTTCAATATAAATTTGTGTAAGAATACTTGGTAATTGCTAGGAATAGGATAGCTACCTGCTTTTAAAAATCCCATTAGAGGCCTCAATAGAGCTTATAGGTCTAACACCTAAAGGGTTCTCACCCCTACTATTTTTAAGGATAACATATCAGTCTTCAGCTCAAGATGCCAGAATAGATGATACTCAGAATTGTGCAGTCCTCCATCAGTAAGGAGATGGAAAGGTATCCTGAAGATATAGCAAGGAACAAACTGGTTCCCATTCATTTGCAGATCAGTAAATTTTAATTTTTTTTCCTACTGTTGACATTGCTGTTGTGCTGAGTGATGGGAAAATACACCATAGAAAACATACAGAATTTTTTCAAGAATCATTTGGTTAGTATGAAGTATCTCATCTTAGTATGTAAGATGAGATAATTACAGACAAAAACAGCTGTTTTTGAAAAGGCTAGGGAGTGCATCAAATTTCAAATACACCACAGCTTTCCAGCATTTCACAGAACTGCTGGATACATTGAAAAGTCGAGGTTGAAAGGAACTTCTGGAGATCTTCTACAGTGTTCTGTTCAAAACAGGGCTTTAGATTAATTTATCCAGGAGTTCTGTCTGTGCTGCAGAAATTTCCGTRCCCAGAAATATGTGCTGCATATTTCCAGAGAGGGACATTCTACCCTCCCCTGGGTAACCTATTTCTATGTTTAATAATTGTCATGCCAAAGTGTTGGGCAAGCCTGTGATCCCTGAGCTGGTTAAGACTTGATAACTAGGAAAGAGGTTATTTATTATCTCAATAGCAGCTTAGTTCATATGTAAACTGRACATAGAATAAATAGCACCAGAAAGTTGGACCAACTGCTATATAGTTTCTTGTTCAAACTGCAGATTTCTTAATCTTGTGGAATCAGGTTACATTAGTTTGGAATACTGTGATATTTGCACTACATAAAGGGGTAAAAGAATGAAGGGCAAAGCCCTGCATTCAATGAAAACACATACGTACCTCACACTGCAGTAGATGCAGATCTACCAACCAGCTGGGCTCCGCAAAGAATGCCCATTGTAGAACAGAGGCAATTAACTTGGAGACACAGAAAGAGAATAACTTCACAGAGAATGAATATTCAGCATGTAAGGCCAAATTGGAATAAATTAGTGAAAGTAAACAAGGCAAGACTTCAGACTTCAATGTTCCCTTATTCTTCTGCTGTCTATCACTGTTATCTGTGAAGTAAACTAYTAGCCCTGGTTTTTAAACTTGATAAGTCATTCTACAATGCATCAATTTTTAATATTTACCAGTGAGATCTTTAAAGAAACTTGATTTCTATTAAATGATGACCTTACACTTACTGAGAACTGGGAGTTTGATGTATTTAAAACTGAGCATGAAAATGAAGAGTCACTCTAAAAACAAAAGAGGCCTAACTGCAAGYGTATTCAACTTGGCAAGCTGAAGAATAGCAAAATAGCTAAACAAGTCGTTTTTTTTCTAGTAATGTAAGTTATCCTGCTACCAAATAATACCTTCATTTATGAGTCTTTCAACTSTGGAAAGCATTTATCCAGGTTTAAGAGCAATATCATTAAAATTAATAAACTGAAATCACAAAGACATATTGAAATACTACATCCATTTCAGATGTGCTGCTGTGTCTTTGTCTTTAGCTTTACACATTGCAGAGCACAACCACTGTCTCAACAGGAGACTGCAGATGTTCTCTGCATATTATTGATTCATTCACTTCAATAATGTGACCCACCAGAAGTKCATTTGAATGCACAAAGATCTAAAAAGGAGAAAAGACCGGGTTTTTTAAGTTTTCAAAGCATTCTCTTAATCTAATTTTAAACCACCAAAGAATTTATATGAGGCAGCTGTTGATACATTTAAGTAGTGTTATGAAAGTCAAACAGAAATCAGCTTGAAGATTCTTCCAAAATATTGGTCTATGATTTAAGTACAAACTCATGTGTGATTTTAGTATACTGCCCAGGACTGTACTGGAATGTTTTGTTTGACAGCTCTTCAGAAAAAGCTTTCCACAGGGAAACAAGGGAACTGAATGCTCCACGTCGAATAGACTGTAAACTGAGCAGCTGGAACGCGTGGGGGCCCTGTGACCCATGCACCAAACAAAGGGTAAGCAACTTTATTGGTTCCAAAATCACAACCARAGGGGTGATATCTGTCTGCCTGTTGGTTATGAGAAAATATCAGATTGCAACTCCTAATACCCTGTGTTCATGATTTGATGAAACCCATAATAATGTGAGATTTGAAGCCATAGAGTAAGAGAACACTACATGCAGATGAGCAATACCACTCAAGTATTATCTTTTAAAAATCTTTTCTTCGTAGAAATTATCTACTTTGGTCATGTTGGTGTTACTGTTTTAAAAATCATTATTCAATTTATTTTCTCCTTTTTAAATTTAAAAAAAAAATAAAATAATAATTCTTTTTCCTTAGGGGAGTTCTTTTAACTCTTTTAAAAACCAAAGACTTGAAAGCATACAAAATATAAATGATGGATTTCCATGCTGGAGGGAAATAAAATAGTAAAGTAAACTAAATAGTGAAAATTTAGCATCTCTACATACTCGCTAAGTATTATTAATCACAGTTATTATTTCAATGTTATTTTAACCATTCATTATGCCTGTAGATTTTCAACAAAAAAAATTTCACCAAGTATGTTTGTTTTTGAAACGTTCTAAATTCAGCTGTAAACACTGCAGTTCTGGTAGAGTTCTCTTTTCTCTCTGAACAATATTAATATTAATAGTGTTATTTCTTTTTCAAGTTTCGCTCTAGAAGTRTTGAAAGATTTGGGCAGTTTGGTGGAAAAGCATGTGTGGATCCTCTAGGCGACACACAGAGCTGCGAAACCAGTGAAGTCTGTCCTGAAGCACCAGAACCAGACTGTGGTGCTGACTTTCAGTGCCAATCTGGTAGGTTTTGTTTTCATGCCATAGCAAGTAAAGTAATAATTCAGAAACCACATTTAGTTCTGTGAATAAGTTACATCAGCCTCATGCTGGCTTTAAAAACACTCCACAGACAGGTGGGCTCAAAGCTATAATGCCAAAACCACAGCAGCAAAACTGCTTAAAAAGGGGTATATAGCTCTCATTTTTCATTTTAATTTGCATCTAGTTTAAGTTCTTTTGTAACTTCTACTCCATGGTTGGAAACTGACCATACTATGAGTATCCCTCCTTCTCGCATACCTGCTCCTGAATCACTATGTTTTATGAAAAATTACAAGGAAAAAAAACTGTAACTGAAGGAATTTTAACAGAATGGATATGGAAGTTTACTGATTTAATTGATAATATAAATGTTAGTTAGTTAGAGTCCAGAATTGTTCTAGATCCAAAATAAGATATAAATTTGTAAAGTGATACAACACATATGAATGAATGTAGTGCTCAAGATTCATCAGAATTCAAAACAAATTAGGAAAAGTTAATAGTAATAAAACCAGTCAAAACAGAAACAGTAAGTTGGAAAATTAATTTGGAATTCCAAGACACTTTTTGTATTGTTTTTATCTCAAATACTGGAAAGTGCACATAAATTTAAAATTAAAAAGTAGACCTTTAACTAATAGTTCATAGGCATTATGTGGCATTTACAGGAAAGGCTGGTGATATCGGAGGTGTTACTTTATTATGCTAGGGTTAATTCACCAAAACCTTTATATCCTGAAGGGAATTTAAAAAAAGATTCTTTGTAAAATTTGTGATATGTAAGCTCAGGAAAATTACTACTTCACTGTTGCTTTAGAATACAAATCACTGTCATTTTGGACACTACATGTCCATATTATTCAAATAATATAGTCCAAATAGGAACAATTTAAATTATTTAGAAATAATTCTTTGTTGATCTTAAATTGGCATTTTCCTGTATTCTCTTAATACAAATAAGAAAACATCAACCAACCTAATAACTGAAGTTTAATATAAAACAATCTCAGGATGTAACAATTTTCTTCAGATAACAGCAGTTTTCCTGCCACTTATTTTTCTCTGTCATCCCAGTAACTTATATGCCGATGGAGTAGTACACAGATTTTTCATTTGAAAGCAGCAGAACATAGGATTTTAATCCCTCATGACAACAGTAGAAATATACTTAAGGAAGATATTAATAAAGAGTAGCTGGGGGTGCCATTTAAAGCCCATCTTGACAAAAGCGGATTTATGCAATGTTTTATTCCTTGATCAGGTCAATGTATAAAGAGAAGACTACTATGCAATGTAGATGATGACTGTGGAGACGGAAGTGATGAAGTGGACTGTGAATCTGGCCAACGATCACCATGTCGTAACCAGGATATTGAAGTGTCTGAAGTTGGTAGGACTGCAGGACATGGGTAGGTAGTAAAGTAAAACGTAGTATTGGGCGTAGTGAAGAGTTTGGCATTGTCTCCAAAGAGAGCTGAAAAAAATGGGGCACAGTGACTTTCCCAAAAGTGAAATCTGAATTATGGTAGCACTTATATACAGAAATGCTACGTAGCTTTTGCAAGAACACTTAACTATAATTTTATTTAGTATACTTGTCAGTATGCAGACAGTGTAAAGCGACCATAATGTGACTAAGCAGAATAATACATAGATGTCACATGAATAAACCTACATATCATTTAAATGTAAAGTTTATAGAGATATAGGTTTGTTTCTAATGATATTTTACAACAAATCAGTAATTCCCAATTACTTTACTAAAATGCATGTCTAAAAGGGAGAAAATATCTCCCGATGTTTTACACAAATAGGATATTTACACAATGGGATGCCTTAGTGAAACAACACTTTGTGTGGTGCTTTTTCCAGTTGTGTTCTCCACTTCCCAGATCTTTGTTGTTTACAGGAGTTTTCATCATTAATCTAGGTTGAAAGTGAATCTTTCTGTAGTCAGACCCTGCTGGATTTCTTTCATCTCTAACAAACAGAAAACATGATCTATTGTTTCCTTACAAATAGAGTTAGAAGRCAGCTGAACTGAAGACAAAAGCATGCTACAGCACCACCATGTGTTCAACGAAAATTATACATCTTTTCATTTCATTTTTTTACTGCACAAGAGCAAAAATCCTGGATGTTTTTTAGCATGGGGAAGTAGACCAAGTATTTAGGCAATTTTAGAAGTTTCTATTACAGTCTGYTACATAGACCTTCCAGGAGAAAATGTTGTATATAGATGCAGGAGTGATGCTGGTGACTTTGATGATTTGGTTATCTCTTTCTACACTCAGATAGGTACAAATAYATTTGCCAGATGTAAATATTTGAAATACTGAAAAGATTTAAATGTATGAAACAGGCAGAAAAGGGCAAAAGATTTATTTATGTTCTTGGAATCCTCCAAGAAGCAGTTCCTTTTGGAAGTATTTCTTGTGCATTAATGTACAGATGCATAGATCAACAAAGACAATGTGCCCACCTCCCTGGTTTTGTAATGGTGCTGATTCCCTCTCCTATGCTCCAGGAAATGCTGCTGTTCCACTAAGTCAGATCCTGCAAGAGACAATGGCAGGACTAAATGTATATTCTTTCTAAGGATTTGATGGATGTTGAACACGCTTGATAATCAAGTTCCTACCAGAAAACAAACTAATAGAAGTTATTTAAAAAAACACACAGCTTTTGAGATGTACTTCTTTAATCAGGAACACTCTCTCAGATATACTGGTCAAGCACAAATATTCTTTTTCACAAATATATTGGTCAAGCAGAAATGGTTTTTACCTCTTTTTATTTCTATGGTTCTCACCATGGTTGATATTTAATGTCTTTTATTTGTTTATTTCTCATGCATAATCCTTCAAGAGCTTTACAAAAGATGTATCTTTATCCCCATCACACAGATAAAAAGATTTCAAGAGATGAAGCAAGCTGCTTGGATGGAGCAGGATTCACTTTTACAGCTATAGTCTCCATCTCTTACAGAATTTGACTTTTCCCATCTTAATACCAGGTCATGGGTGCTGACATTCCCTCTTTTAAAGTATAACTTCTCTTGTTTTTTTCTTATAGACTCAATATTTTAGGGATGCAGCCTTTGGACAGCCCATTTAACAATGAATTTTTCAATGGTCTTTGTGAACGGGTTCGTGATGGGAACACGCAGACATACTACCGCAAGCCGTGGAATGTGGCTTCTCTCACTTATGATGTAAGTTTAAGTCCTGGACAGACTAGGATGTCCTAACAAACTAGTCCTAACTAGGAATCCTAACAAACTCTTGGAAGTCTCAGTGTATCTCTTCAGTCAGGTAGCTGCTTTTTAGACTCAAGATTGAGCTAATGTCCAGAGGAAAACAGCTTTTGTCATTTACTCTGACAGTTAAGCTCAGTCATGCCAGATAAATTCCTACACCTTCATTAATTCACCTTTGCACAATAAACAACGCTTTCTTTCTGGAATGTTTAAAATATGAGCAGAAGAAATGAAGATTATAGAAAGGATTACGATACCTAACTTTTACTAGGTAGAGCAGCAAATAAGCTTCTTTTTCAAGGACACGTAAAAGCCACTGATAAAAAAGCAGACATAATATTATGATATTCTTGTCCTACTTGTTTTTTCTACTAAGTGGTGTTTTTCTCAATCCCACGGGAAAAAAAAATCCATTAGGCTATTAGGTTTCAGACTATGAGTTTCAGTGAGGTTTGAACACCAAAAATATTGACAATTGCTGAAAAAATGTCAGATGCTTTTCAGAAATCAAAGCATAATTTTGCATCCTGAATGCCTTGCCAATTACTGTCAGTAGGAACTTCATAAGACAATTTAAACCAGGTCCTTCCCAAAATACATAAATCTGACCCACAGATCTCTGGTTATATTTGATTTTGATGTGTAACAATTTTCAGTTGCTAAAATGTTCTGCTAAAGCATACTAAAACAACACTGAAAAGGGTATTCTGAATTACTTATTGTTTGCTGTAAGAAAAGAAGGCAGAATCACAATTCTAACTTATTTCAACTGTCAGGACCTCTTAGCAAATTGTGACTGTGTTCTAGTAGAGATTATTATTCCTTACATAGAGTCATAGCATCTCCTGATCTGGAAGAGATCCACAAGGACCTTCAAGTCCAACTCCTGTTCCTGCACAGAACACCCTGAGAGTGACATCATGTGCCTGAGAGCATTGTCCAAATGATTCTTTAAGTTCTGTCAGTCTTCGTGATGGAAACACTGGCCTGGGGAGCCTGTTTCAGTGTCCAATCACCCTCTGGGTGAATAACCTTTTTCTGACATCCGCACTAAATCTCCCCTGACCWCAGCTTCAGGCCAATCCCTCAGGTCCTGTCACTGGTCACCACAGAGAAAAGTGCCCACCCTTCCTCYTCCCTTGCAAGAAAGCTGTAGACCATGTAAAGGAACTGCAGACCCCAAAAATTACTTTGACAGTGTTATATGTTGAGATTTAATACTCACTGAATTATTGTCATTTCAGTTTTCTGTTCACTTTTGAACCACTGAACTGATCCAGATGAGGTAGTTTGAGGAGGGAGTTGTATTTCTATTTCTTTTGGTTCAAAAGAAAAAAAGAGCAAMAAGAAAATGTGTTTATATGCTCTGTAAAAGGTATAGCTTTAAAGTGTCACATAGATTTTTCTACTACTGACTGTTTTGTTTTCTCATACAGCCTTTTCTTTATCTTTTCTCAGACAAAAGCAGACAAAACMTTTGCAGCTGTGTACTACCATGATCGTGTGAGAATGTTACGAGAAGTTTATATGGAGAAACAGACACATTTTAGTGCTGGCCTTTCTCTAAAATATACACCTACTGATGGAAGTAAACAAATTGATGCAGAAGGAAATTTCAAATTTGACTACAGAAAGAATCATGTGATAGGAGCCATCATGCAAAAAAACACAGAAAGGGTGAGATTTCTTCTAAAAGTTTTAATGCAAGTGTTTTACAAATGGTACAGTTTATGCAGTGTTAGAACAAGACAATAATCATCAAAGTATTCTAGTCAGCTGCTGCTTTTTTGACACTTGTTTTAAAAAAATGAAATACTGGTGACAATAGGGCTAAGATTTCAGACATGACCAAAGAGCAACTAGAAGTATATTCTTTTTCCTACTGTTTATCCTTGACTAGTAGGCACTCTCATCGTTATCAGGGGCTTCATGTCAGAAAGGATCAGGACCTCTGGTCTCATCTTGATTAAAGAGCAGTTCTGATCTAGTGCAGTGCAGGCAAAGTAGGTCAAGTCTTGTGAATAAAAAATACCACTGAGTAGGTCTACACTACATAAACACTAAATAAATTTTAAGAATAGTGACCAAAAGGTCAGAACTCAGACATTTGGGTACATCTGTATTAATAAACTAACCAGGGTTAAAGGGCACAGGTACACAATAATCCACAGTTCTACTAGCATGCTGCTAGACTTCAGTCAGTGCTRGCTCTCATGATGTCATAAGCAATGCCCATCCTGAACCTCTGCACACCGTGTTTGAATGGAATATTCTTCCAGACAATCTGGAGAAARGCCAGCCCATTTTGGGATTGCACAGAAACCATACCACTACCTGCCCTTTGAAACTGTGGAAAGACCCTATCCCATTTTATTTGATAGTAAAGAAGTAGCCTTAGCATTTAGTGAGGTCAAAATGAGATAGACCACAAAAAGTGATGCTAGACATGTTGTGCTTGAATCCCAGTCAGCAGACAAGCCCCAGGCAGCTGCTTGTTCAGTCCCACACCAGCGGGATCGGGAAGAGAATGGGCAGGGTAGAACTCATGGGTTGAGATACAGACAGTTTCAGAGGGAAAGCAAAACCCGTGCACACAAGCAAAATAAAACAAGGAATTCTTTAACTGCTTCCCAAGGGCAGGCAGGTGTTCAGCTCTCTCCAGGAGASCAGGGCCCCATCATGCGCAACAATAATTTGGGAAAACAAATGCCATCACTCCAAACATCTCCCTTTTCCTCCTTCTTCACTCCACTTTATATACTGAGCACAATTTCATATGGTATGGGAAATCCTTTGGATCAATTTGAGTCATCTGCTTCAGCTACATCTCCCCCAGCCTCCCAAGGAACCCCAACTTCTTTGCCAGCGCAGCAGTACAAAAAGCAGAAAAGGCCTTGGATGTGTGTAAGCAGTGTTCAGCAATAACAAAAACATCCCTACATTATCAACCCTKTGTTCAGCACAAAACCCAAACACAGTCCCGTGCTAGCCACTGTGAAGAAGATTAACTTTACCCCAAACAAAATGAGCACAACATGACATTATGGCCTAATCCTGTGTGCTAGTAGAATAAATTAATGAGATCCTATACCCTTTTCCACCCTTTATGCCAAGGTCTGTGATTACAATACGCCATCATTTAGAAGGCAGATCAGCTCCATAAACCTGAAATGTGTGATGCGTGAGGAATACTAGATTGATCTCAATTAATTAAAATTTTCAATTTAATTTTCAATTTTCAATTTTTCTTGTACAGGACCCATTCAGAACTCTGGAGGTCAAATTTATATAAGGGAAAGCTAAGACAACTTTTAGAACTGGTTAATTTAAATAATGTCARAGATGAAGATCTGCACTATAAAGATTAGCTGAAGCTAGCATTGCCTTTGTACTGGTGCCAGTTTTCTTGGGATGGAAACAGACCATTTAAACCTCAAACCATRAATCTCCACAGACTCAAAAAATAAAGCTCTCTAACTTAGGGGTTTTTACTGTCTTCTTATAGTCTAGTGGCTTGTGATAGGAGGTTTGGACTCAAATTCTTGCTTAGAGATCAATTCAGAGAATGAGGCACAATCTGACTCACTGAATTATTGTCATTTCAGTTTTCTGTTCACTTTTGAACCACTGAACTGATCCAGATGAGTTAGTTTGAGGAGGAAGTTGTATTTCCATTTCTTTTGGTTCAAAAGAAAAAAGAGCTATAAGAAAATGTGTTGATATGCTCTGTAAAATGTATAGCTTTAAAGTGCCACATAGATTTTTCTACTACTGACTGTTTTGTTTTCTCATACAGCCTTTTCTTTATCTTTTCTCAGACAAAAGCAGACAAAACCTTCGCAGCTGTGTACAGCCAGCAGACAGCAGAGTTCTGTCACTGTAAATTCAGGTGTCTGCAGGGCACTGGAGTGCCAGTCCCTGCACGAGAACCCTCCAGGGCTCACCTGCAAGTTAAAGTCAGAAGCCTGGAGGTGCCTGGAGAGAAAGGAACTGTGTATGCTGGCTGGCAGGAATACTGCCCCTACAAAAATTTCCTTACAGTTATTTAGATGCCTGAAAACCTCTGCCAGTCTTACCAGCATCTGAGTCTGCAGCTTAAGATCCTTTAAATGGTGCCGGATAATGTGATGGTCAAATGCTAGACCTTTTTACATATTTCCTGTTGGGCACTACTATCAAGGGAGTCACATAAATCCTGCAAATAATAATGTGGTTTGGAAGGCATCTGTTCCCTTAGAATCTCAAATGCAATTACCTCACAAGATTTTATTTCACAAGTTACTGGCAATACTGGGTCCTASTTTAGAATATGATATGAAGTGGTTTTATCCATTGCTGTACAATAACTTATAATGTATCTATGGGTCAAATGCATCGAATGGATTTTTTTCCTTATAAATTTTTATTTTATGATATTGTTTTGGGGTTTTATGGTTTCAATTGGAGCTGTGTTCTTCCTTCTGACAGTCTGAGAACAACAGGGAAGTGATCCAAAAAAAGAGAATTTCATTCTGCTCTGACTATAAACAAAGTCAAAACTCTATCTGACCTGAGTGGGCAGCTTCTGTTATTTAGCAAAACATATAGAACAACTTTTGAACATTATGAAAGTCAGAAAGCATCTTTCAGTAAGCATTGTATTTAAAGAGACCTGGTGTCAAAATAGATCACAAAGGCCTTGCTGAAGTAAGGGAAGAGTTCTGCAAAATCAGAAGAACTAAAATAACTTTCTTGCTGCTTCCTCAGTTTAAATCAGAGAGCTTTTTAACCTTTATTAAACAAGTTTGTCTTTCTTCCATAATGCTAGATGGAATGCTGTGTTGCAAAGTCCTACAGCTTCTTTACAAGTGAAATATTACTAGATGGAATGCTATGTTGCAAAGTCCTACAGCTTCTTTATAAGTGAAATATTACTGATTTTTTCTGCTGTGCTGCATATGAGAATGGCACTCTCTTCTTTCTTCTTCTCCCTGCATTCAGAACCAAACATTTCTGCATATAAAAGGAAAGGTTCAGTTGGGAAGATTTAAAATTCGGAGCCGTGATGTCCATCTCACAGATAGTTTCCTTGATAGTTTAAAAGTGCTGCCTGCTGAATATGACAAGGGGGAGTATTTCAAATTTCTAGAAGATTATGGAACTCACTATGCTGCCTCTGGAAGCGTAGGAGGAAAATATGAATTGGTTTACGTGCTGGATAATTACGCTTTGTCTGAACGAGGTATGCATTCTGTTGGCCTTGCTATGGTGTGCTGATTAATATCAAGTCCCCAGACTTCCAAAGAGACATGTGATGGTAGGTCTGTGTGGAAAAATACTGAGAAGTATTCTCAGCACAGTTCACTGCATGCTGCTTATGGCATGCCAGTGACATTATAGAATTACATAAACTAACAGAGAATGGTCAACTTTGTAATTTACACAATTAATTGAAGTCTCTGTTGAAGTCTTCCACCTCTCTCTGTGACTGAGAGGTGGAAGAAAATCTTAAACAAATCTCATGCAAACAAGCAATAATTGTATGATTGGCAAGAGATCTCCAAAGACTAGAAAATCTGCCTAAACCTTAAATCCTATTTGCCTGTTGGTACCTTTTTGTGGTACAATCATTCTAAGAGGATGGTGGTGACAAAAAACAAAGAATAAATTGAAGTACTTTCTAGAAACCACGTGTAGCACTTGAGTGTGTTGGAATTAATTTCATAGCTTTCAACATTCACACTGGAATATTCCATGTTCTGGTTAAGATAGGAAAGTAGAAATTTAATCTTCCCTCACATGTAGATCAGGTATATGTGGGTTTGTGCTAGATTCAAGTAATCACATTGGAATAAATTTAGAAAAGGCCATTCTCATATTGATTTTGGCAACCAGAAAATAAATATCTACTGCATGTAGCATCAATAGTACTACTGATTTGATATTACTATCAGATATTCAGTCTATGCAAAGGGCTATGAGGCAAATATGTCATTTATATTTCCCMCTATTAGCCTGGTCAGCACCTCAAGATTGTTGTTCTGGAAGATTGAAGCAAAATTTGTTTTGAACACGAAAGCAAATTTGCAGGTGATATGTTTGAATTCAATAAGGAAAAAGGAGGTGTTGGAAGCAGTAGTGGGTAGAGGAGGATTAGAATTTATGGRAAAAGTGTGCTTATTCAACTGCCTTGACTAACTTTATGAAGAAAAGGAGTGGAGAAATATAATTGAGTTTAGGAGAGAGAGACTGGGAGAATTCCATAATTTAGCACATAAAAAGTATAAATGTTGAGCAGCTGCAAAAGACAAAATTTCAGTATAAAAAATGGAAATAATGGTCCCTAAAGGACACCTGCTTTCAACTAGATTAAGGAAAACAGAAATCCATTTTTGGTGTTTTCCTAATTGCCATAAATCTCTCCTGCATCCATTCAGATACTTCAATTACTATCATTATATAGAGAATGAAAAAGTAGAAGATAAATGGGAMGAAGAAAGCCACAGACATTTCCAATAGCCCTGAAATGTATTCTGTAAGAATAATAATACCTTGTTATTTATGCTGATTCAATCTAATTTCCTTTTTCCTTTTTCTATTGCAGGAATCACTGTAGATGATGTGAAAAAATGCCTTGGCTATCACTTAGATGTTGGTATTGGACACAAAAATATACATGGCGATTTGAATATTGATGGTGGTAAATGTGGAAATATGACTGTGAAGGACAGATGTAAGTATATCACTCATTTATGGTGTATATTTTCTTTAAGAAAAGATAATACCTTCCTTCCCCTTAATAATCAATACAGTTATTGCTGTTAGGGAGAAGGACYAATCCAGTAGACCAATATAAGTGAGATTCACATTCTTATTCTTCCATGCTCCCAAGTCAAGRCAGCCTGAAAATGTGCTTCCAGAACTCACTTACATGATGTATATGTACACGTCACTGGCCACACAAATACAGACAAAATCACACCAATGGTTTCATACTTTTCTCCTCTCCACCTGATAAGGAAAGAAAGTCTTTTAATGGGTAATATCACAGAATCCCAGAATGGTTGAGACTGGGAGGGTCCTCTGGAGGCCATGTTTCCAACTCTTYTCCTCAAGCAGGGTCATCTAAAGCACATGTGCTCCCCAAGCAGCACAGGTATTTCAGCATTCCTCAGGTATTTCAGTCCCTCCACAATACACAAATATAGTCTATACAGAAAACTCTAGCAGCTGACCTTAAATAACCGACTAAAATAGCAAGTGCATCATCAACTTGTCCCATTACTGACAGTGATATATAACACCAGGCCCACATCTCCACTCCCATTGCTAATACACACCAAGACACACACACACGCACACGCACACACACAAACACAATGAATGTCTCCTCTGTGACTGGCCTTAGGTGGTCAGTCTACCCAGCAACTGGCCCTTAGATCCTCTCACCTCTATTTGCATTAGACAGAAATACACTCATATGCAAACAGGTCTCAGTCAACCCCAGGACTTTAAGGTCTCTCCAGTATTTGGCCTAGAAACCCTAGTCACCCAATAGCCAGCTCCTCCACTTGTCTCACCCCGAGACATAAAACTGTAGAATGATTTGGATTGGAAGGGGTCTTGGAGATCATCTAGTTCCAATACCCCATTATGGAAAGTCTTTGCTCAGGACTGGTATTGCCCAACCAAGATGCAGCACCTTGCACTTGGACTTACTGAATTTCCTGAGGATTTTGTGGGCCAGATTCTCAAGTTTTTCTGGGTGTCTTAGGATGGAATTCAATCCTCCTTTTGTGTTAATGGCTCAGCTTCATGACATCTGGAAACTTTCWGAGGGTGCACCTGATCCCACTCTCTGTCATTGATGAAGATACTGAAGAGCATCAATCCCAAAAGAGAGCCCTGAGGGACACYACCTGTCAGTAGCCTCCRCCTGGGCAAAGAGCCATTGATCACAACCCTCTGGCTGTGTCCATCCCACCAATCATTGATCCTTGCTCACCAACTACTCCACCCTTCAAATCCATATGCTTCCAGGGTGGAAATAAGGATGTTGTGTGGGACTGTAGTAAAGGCCTGACGGAAGTCCAGGTAGATGACATGTGTTACTTTTCCCTTGCTGACTGTTGCTGTCACTAGATCACGGATCACTAGACCTTGGCCACAGTAACAGCTGATTTGATACTCAGCTCCCAAGCCACTTAYTCACCTGCTTGTATTCAGCTGCTTGTCTGACTTGACACCGAATAGTGATCACACACTGGCATTTGTTCTGTCACATGCTCCAGTTAGTAGCACCACAAACACAAGTCCCTATCAGTCCTTTTCCAGTTCTAGAGGCTGGCACACAGAGCTCCATACACATGCACGCATGCAGAACAGTGTCCCTTCACCCTAGAAAATAGTTAAAATAGAACTTAAWGTTAAACCAGGACAGACTGCAAAATGAAGGACAGTGCATAGCAGACAAGCTCATTGATCAGTCACTTTTCTATATGCAATCAGTCCCCTTAATTTGCCATTATCCCTTTATTTTCTCATGTTTATGCCTCCCAAAACCTTGAACCCCCGTTACTTTTTCAATCCTCTAAATATATGCTAAGTATTTAAATTTGTGCTATTCCAAACTGCTGTTCTTTTAATCCAGAGAGCCCTTTCATTGACTCATCTTGCTGCTGATTCATCTTCAGCCCCATCCTGCAGGGCAATGGCTCTGCTTGGACAGGCCTGGGAGGAGTCAAGGCAGGGGCTCCCTTTCTCTGATTAGCCTGGTTGTGTTCCCCTGTCTGTCATTGTTCCCCTCTGCTCCTTTGTGTGCCTGTTTCCTACGGCATAAAAATTGCAAAAGGGAAGGAGATTTACTACTGAGCAAAGAGGAGGCAATTATTTGCAGTATTCTGCTCTTGAATTATAATTAGGAAGCAAAAGCTCCTACCATTCTAATTCCCATCCTATTCTCTTTCTGCTCAGGTGATATAGCAGCATTACTCATTATTTTTTGCTTGTTATCAAATGATCTTCATAAGATGTGTCAGTTTTTCCTACACCTTATTTTCCTTTCAGACCTAGGGTTTTATAATTCAATTGCAAAATAGAAGATTTCCTCCTACATCACAGGTATGAGCAAAGAAATATTGAATTCTGCTACAACCAAGGATTCTCTCTAAAATCATTTTACAAAGAGGGAATGGCTGCACTAGAAGGACAATTGTTCTTCCAGAAGCATGGACAATAAACATTCTTCTTCATCCTCTCTTTCTTTCTGCAGCAGAAACAGATGATGATGCTATCATTGATGATGTCCTTTGCTTAGTTGAAGGGGGACAGATTGACTTTGCAGTTAAAATACAAGAAATGTTACAACGTGGAGCCAAAGTGGTTGATGTGGAGGATTACATACAGTGGGCTAAATCTTTGGTTGATGCTCCAGTAGTAATAGAACAACGGGTAAGTACAGATTCTTCAAAGCTRTGGCTTTTTACAGTTTGAAAGCATTTGTTGTAAGATGGAGGTGAGACTCCAAGTTTGTCATGCATTTTCAGGCATTGTCCTCATTTTAACTGTCCCTTCAGATGTTTACCCTAGTGATGGCTATACTAAAAGGATTCAAAACTTTGGAAAAGTGAGTTATACATGAACTTTTCTTTCTTCTACAGCCTTCTCCAATACATACACTTGTTCCAGTTAAGATGAAAGATGCATATTTAAAGAAACAAAATTTGGAAAGAGCAATTGAAGACTACATTACCGAGTACAGTGTGTGCAAATGTGAACCCTGCAAAAATGGAGGCACTCTCGTGCTCATAGATGGAGTCTGTACATGCCTGTGCTCAAGTTATTTTAAGGGAATTGCTTGTCAAATTCCCAAATCTCAATTAGTTGAAGGTTAGTAASTACTCCAAATAAACTAAAATGACAATATTTGTTGTTAACAACACCCTGATAAAATGMGCCTTCATAAGGATGAAAGGATTTCACAGCACTTCCTTATACCTACTGCTGTCAAATCTCAAGGGCAAGATAGGGAATTTAATGTAATTTACTGGGTTCTTTCTAAAAAGAGAGTATTCTCATTTGGAGTTCATTGTCCCAAATCCATTGCTGTTTCTCGCAATGACAGMAAGTTCAGGTTTACAGGAATATTATTGAGACTTGGTGCAGTACTGGTAAACTGTTTTCAGGCAATAGTGATCTCCAAAAAAGTACCATAGTCTTAACTATTTTGTCTTCAGTTTGCTAAAAAAGCATGGTGTTTGCTAGCACATGATAAYTTTTCACAATTACTGTGCTAGCTTAATGTTACATTGATCCACAAGGGGAAAAGAGAGAAGAATGCAGTTTCACAACTGACAATATAAAAAAAAAATTATTGCATGGTGTATTCATTTTCAGTGACCAGGTTTTTAAAGTACAGGTGGCCAAAATGGGCCTTAGACCTTGTWTCCTAGTATGACAAAAATGTCAAAAGCCCAGGGCTCTTGACAAGGACACAAATTTTTGTGATGGATTGTGTGCTGGAGGCTGCATTGATCTGCAGGGTCACTATAACTGATCATGGTCTGCCTTGAGAGAGGTAGATGGACTAACCCTGTATGGTGTCTCAATACCAGTTGTGACTGATGGAGGCTGGAGCTGTTGGAGTGCCTGGTCCCCCTGCATCAATGGAGAGAGCACTCGAACTCGTGAGTGTAATAATCCTGCACCAGAACCAAATGGCAGACCATGCCAGGGAGAAAGTATTGAAAAACGACCCTGTGAAGAAGGAAAATAATTWTGCTCCTCAAAACCAAGTAAGCAGCCTCTTTAAATGTATTACTGCAATTCAGAATAAATGCTCAACTAAYATTTTGAGCATTTCAGAGACAAATTTTCTGAAGTGGCAGGTAAATTCACTTATGTATTTCTCTTAAATTTGATACAGTTGATCAAACACATTATATCAAATTTATGAATGGTTACATTTTTATTTGAATGTTTCGACAAATAATGTTGTATTGCAGAACTCAACATTAGAATTGAATTTTGGATAAGAATAGAATAAAAATACAGCTCTCAGAAAACCCCAGATTTCCTCTCCAGTCAGACTACTCATCAAAAAGTTTGTGTTTTAAGGAGAGGTAAGGGACATATTTTCCAGAAGAAAAATATTAAAACAGTTCAGGAGACTGAAGTCTCTTACTTGATAAATAAAATGCTTAAATGCTTAAATCCAGCAAAACTATTGCTACAGCAGATTTGAAACATGCAACTTGGAGAAATACATTTTAAGAAATGTCTAGGTACATGGTTTTGTTACAGTTTTTTTGGTGGGTTTCTTGGTTGTTGGGTTTTTTTAAATAATAGTAATAGCAATAATAATATTACTATCATTCATGTCAATATTAATATTAATGTTGGTATTAATATTAATATTAATATTACTGTTAATATTAGTATTAATATTACTGTTAATATTAATATTAATATTAATGTTAATATTAATATTATACTGCAATGCCAAAGAAACAAGAAAACAAGAAGCAAATAAATCCAAACAGGATTTTGAGGATTGAAGCTTTGGTCCCTAAAATGGCAAATGAACCCTAATATTTTCACTTGCTGAAAACACTAATAGTTTTCATGCCTAGAAGGAAGAGTTTGGGTTTTATGCTTAATATGTTGCTATAAGATTCTTATCTTGTGAGAGACCACAAGATGAAAAGACGTGGCAAGATATGGAAAAGATACTGAATATTTCCCCACTGAAACTATATGATGGTAAGTCTTGCAAAATGTCCGTTACCTGCACCAAAAATATATATCAAAATATTTTCTCCAGCTTGAATRGAGCTCAGCTACATCTAGTATTTCATTTGTGAAGCATTCTGAAGAAAGCATGGCCAGCAAGGCCTAACTACTCCACATAAGGGAATTACAAACACCATCCCACAGCACGACATGCACCACATCTCCAGCTGTCAGAGCTACTTATTCCACRAGTTATTTTACAGTTGGAAAAGATAACATTGGGAGAAGAATATGATACAGATCTGGAAAATCAGATATATTTCACGAAGAAACTTATAAGTAGCATAAATTAAATAAACCAGCAAGTGGCAGATTTTAAACAGATTGAAGACTGGTCATTCACACAATGGGCATACCAAAGGCATATATGCGTTTTAAAACTTCAGCATAAAAAAATGAAAGGTCATTAAACGAGAATTATGCTTACTCAGGAAGTATCTGAAGAATCCTTTTTTGCAGGATGGGAAACTATTTTTACAGGGAAATACTGGGAAAGTATTTTTATGTGTTTCCATACTCCTGGACATTCCCTAGTCACTGCTATTGCACTCTTTTTAAATTCAGGGCATGAAGTTAGCCTTTGCTTGATTCAATGAAGTTGSTGTTATTAAAATAAAAATAAACCTCATAAGCAGCCTAATTTTATTCCTGCACTGCTTCATTAACATGCTCCTATTCAGCCATGAGAGCAAATACCACAATGATTATTCATAACATACACACACACATTTGTCCATATTTCTTCTGGTATGGCATAGAAAGAAGCATTAACCTAATTTTGGCTTCTGATATTTATATGGTTTCGGACATGTGGAGTACTCACTCTTCAAGCAGAAGTCTGATATTTAAATGTCTGAAAATGACACAATGAGTTTTGAWTCATCCTTTACAGAATCACACACGATCACAGGATAGGTCAGGTTGGAAGGGACCACAGTGGTCCAATCCCCCTGCTCAAGCAGGGTCATCCCAGACCACATGCACAAAATTGCATCCAGATGGTTTTTCATTAGAATTCTTTTACATTACAGACATATTTGGGGCACAATAAAACCATAATCTTAGTGAGCTATGAGAGTAAAATTTCTTCTAAATTTTGACCATATATATATATATATATATATATATATATATATATCCTGTCACTTTTTCACTATTTTTTCTCTTTTTTTTAGAAAACATTAATGGATTTCAAACCAATTCCGCAAATCATGGTTTCTGCTGGCCAACTAGCTACTCAAGCACAGTGGAATTGCATGACTTAAAAGTACCTACAGCTTAAATGATCTGTAATCAAAACAAAGTAATAAACAATAAACATATTAACAGAGATGTGCTGACACAGTAGCTGTGGTCAAGCTTTTATTTGTCTGTGGCTGTCATTAGAACATGAATACTGCAACTTTGTCAGTCAATAGCATATTGCTGTGCCTTTATCAATACTCTTTCATAATTATTTCTGGTATGTTTTCAAACTGATTTTCAAGAATTCAAATCCAGAACGAGTACCACCAAGTTTATATAACTTCAGTTAATTGCTGATATATTTCTAGAAAAGAACTTGAAAGAGTSTTTACCTTCAGCAAAATGCCCTTGTGGACTTATTTCAGCCCTACATTTTACATCTAATTCATGCCACAAATCACCAGGATGTTTAGGAAGAAATGAAGCTTGACTAGAGTTCCTGCTCCTGCTAATATTTGCTCCTCCTAATATTTGCTCTATAGTCCAACATTGCATCTTGACTACATCAGTGAGTTGGAGATTTTATGTGAGATCAGAGGCACATTACAAAGAAATAGAACAATTGTCATAGTACCRTATTTTTAGCAGAACTTCCAAAATAAGGAAGCAAGGCTGATGCAATTCTGTTGTCATTGAATCCACCTGAAAGTCTCCTTTGGTGACTTTTGAACCCAGCAGACAATTACTGGGAAATTTATTCGGAGTGCRGAGAAATAATAGTTTTCAAAGAGGCGTCATTTAAAAAGGCAGCTAGGTTGAGAAAACGAAAAGAAATTAGTGTCCCTTTTGAGGAAAAGATAACAGAGATATCTGGAAGCAAGATAYAAGGAGATAGTTTAAAACAAAGGTATATGAGGGCTGAGTGCTTTGGAAAYGTAGAAACAGTAAAAGCCATCAGATCAATGGGATCGGTCCCTTGCATATTGGCAGTCCAGATCTGGAAGAGTCCCCTGGAACCTTCTTCACCTTCCTCCTGTCTACCACAAGTGACTCTAAAGACTTTGAGTACCCAAGATGAAACATCACAAAAGAAGGTAGGAGACAGAACAGTGAATCACAACCTGTGCACAAAGTCAGACCAAATAAAGGTYTTTGACTGGTCTTTGCTACCATGAACAGTCCCTTCAGACCACCAGAGCACCAACAGGTTTCCACTAGGATGCTTCTATTAATCAGTATTCCTAGGTGCAAACACAGGATTTTCCCAATGGACGAAACACACACGCACCTGCAGTCTTCCTGGGACATTTCAGACAGCCTCAAACCYAAGAGACTCTTTACCGCACTGTGCACCCATAATAAAGCAACTCCTGGTAAAGACCTGATGTTACTGTCTCACAGTGGAAGCAGCAGAACTCTCCACCAAGTGCAGAGCTATCATACACTGGGAAATCCCTAAGAGACACAGCAACTCCTAAAGAGGAGGACATAAAAACATTCCTGCTTAAAAAAAAAAAAACCAAAAATATGAAGAGGGCAGGCCTAGAGCAACCTACCATTRTCTAAGATGTACCACTCAGTTTGAGCAGACATGGTGACCAAGCATCTCCACAGAACAATGAGTAATCACCCCCTGAAAAAGAGATGTTTTTCCTAAAAGCAGAATTCTCTCTGTCGTGCATTTAAATGTCTTTTATAAATCGCTCATGTAACACGTGGAAGCCCTATTGATCTCCTCCTCCATCTATGCTCTTTGGAAGAYCATTTCTGAATGATTAATTCAATATGAATTAATACAAATTARTATAAATTATCATTCCCACTTTAAATGTAGTTACAACTTACTTATACAAGCTTGATTTCAATCTTGTATTATTTTGGTATGAATAATACTTCCCTGATATGACAGATCTTGTCATAACCTTCCATCTCCACTTTCTTAAGTTACCCAAGGTAAGCCCTTCCAGAGTCCTTTCAGGAGCCAATAGGAATTTAGTAGGAAGTCCTACTAACAGGAGAAGTCTTCACTTGGTCACTCAACATAGYTGACCAGAACTGCACACAAGACCCTATATACGCCCTCATCACTGCTGTGCACAAATTCTTTTCCTTTTGCCTCTCCCAAAAATCATTTCCCTAATGTGTACTCAAATTATATGCGCTTTTCACATGTTCATGTCATGCTATTGCACAAAGCAAAAAATCTTCATTCTAGCCTTAAATGTATGATTTTGTTATTAAATTTTGGTTGAGATCTATCACTCCAATACACAAATCTTCCCATCCTTCCTGTGTAACAATTTGATTCTTTACAAGATTAGAACCATTCTGTTTAGAACACCTTCAGATAACACCAGTATAGGCCCAGCTCTTGAACCAGACTCCTGATCCAAGTAATGGATCAGACAGGATCAGTCATATGACCAGCAGAACACTGCGAAAAACCCCAGTTAAACTCAGTGACTCCGTTTCCACTAAAGTGATGTTGCTTTAACCACCTCCTTGTCTACCTTGCAGTTTTTCTGACTGGTCACATCCTCTCCCAATTCCCATCACTTARAATTCACCACAGATCATCACATGAAATGCTCTGCTGAAATCTGAATAGACAAAGTAAATATTATTACCTTTGCCTAAAATGTGAGTTACACTTTGCAAAACAGGTATTAATTTATTCAGACATGAGCCGTCTTTAGTGAAAGCTACATTAGATGTAGCTACATAAATCTAACATTTTCTCATTGAAATTGTTTTTTCAAAACTGTTCTTAGAGTTGCATAATGTTGTGCTCAAGAAAATAAGCATGTAGAGGTCCTAGTAATTTCTAGTTTGAGGAAAATAGATAGTATGTTTGCTAACTGCCCTTGTAAGTATCTGTAGTTGTATTTGCTACTATCTATATATTAGATAATTGATATATTACACTGAAAGTTTAATAGAAGACAAATGGTTTGGGGTTTCCAGTAATCCTTTCAGTGCTGACATTATAGGGGAATCCTGATTTCACCACAGAATGCAGTTTAAACCTTGCTTCTGACACAGGTACAGCATTTTCTGTTATTTTCCTATCATATTTATTTATCCCCCATTACTTCATACTGAGAAGATTGCTTACTGAAAACTCAACTGATTTTTATTTAGAAATTAGACATCACCAAAATATACCGAAACCCTCTTTCTTGTTTTAACCAGCACTTTCCCTTCTTTCACCACTTTTCATTAAGCCCTCTGTTTTAGTGTTTGGGTTTTATCTAGATCCACCTCACTGAAGTGCATGGCCATACGCTCCTTCTTCCTTCAATTTTTGTGCACAGGAAATCTGCAGCATTACAGAACTTTAATACCTTATCAGACCAGGAAAATTTTGTTTTTCTGATAGTATCAGCTATTAAGAGCTGCATAATTCAAGGGTCATTGATAGAAACATGGTTCAGCTTCKTAGAGACAGAAAATTACTTCAGGTTCTAAGCATCCAGGAAAGTCTGAGTCAGAACAAGACATGCATGGGGTTTATAGTGAAGCCTAAATATCTGAAAATTCAGGAACCCAGAGTATGAAAAACAGAAACATTTGCCTTTTTAATTCATTCAAAGATTACTGAAAAAAAAGGATATAATTTTATCATCAGTATAGGCCTGGTTTTCCTAAAAATCTTGGAAGTCATTAAATGAATGAATAAAACCTATTCATCCTTCAAAGTGGTGCGATGCAACCCAAACAAATTCTGTTTAAAATTTGTTAGGTCTCTGATAATGTGCAAAACAAGAATACTGCTGATATCTTTTCCCATGAAGGCCGGACAAATACTGTTTAAAATTTGTTMGGTCTCTGATAATGTGCAAAACAAGAACACTGCTGATATCTTTTCCCATGAAGGCTGGATAGACGACAAACGCTATAAAAAAGATCACAGTGAAGGACAAAGAACATTTTGGCTCCTCTAGGACAGTGCATACTCCATAGCAGACACACGGAGAGAGAAAAACTGAAATTATGGTAAGTACARCACATTATTAATTTACTTTTTATTACATGGATGCATAAGATGGATGCATTAGCACTAAAACTGATGTGGATGTGACTGTAAAATGTTAAATTCATTTCTAATAGTTTTCARATCCTTTCATCTGGACTCCTGTTTTCAAGGGCAAGAGGAAACTTTTTTTTTAGGTCCTTCATGAACTGGTTAGTATGTGTTTTACTGATTCTAGCACTCAAAATTAAGGATAACAACTTCTTTAAAGGCCAAGCTGACAAATTAGATTGGGTATCCAGAAGAATTCTGCACTCAAGTGTCAATGTGACAYCAAACAAAAATGGGAAGGGATCACACCTTCTAATTAGATTTTTAGAAAATAATTGCATTCTCTTATTTTGATTCAGCAGGACTTTGTTGCTGATGTTAAAAAAGAAAGAGCCTGTTTGAAAGAAACTGACAGACTGTTTCTTAACCCCAACMGTTTGTAACTAAAAAGACAAAGGGATTTATCTGTAAGTCTTCTGTAGATTTGGATGGGGAGTGTGGTGTAGTGTTGTGTGTTTAGCAAACTGGTAGAATTTGTTTCCTTAGAAAATCAGGTTTTTAGACTCTATATTAAGYATTTATTAATATATCAAAGTGATAATGTCAAGATTAGTGATTTTACAGAGAGATGTTGAAAAGTAAGAAATGTGAATAACTTTTCAAGCCATCTTTGCTCTTGGAAATAACTTACATCTCTTGGTGTACCTKGTATACATTTATCAGGTACCTATGTCCAAATAATTATCTTCCCTGGATGCAGTACTACTAAAGAAGTATTGTTTACTTGAAGCTGYCCATCCCATTTCCAAAAAAAGAAAAGATGCCTTGTGAAACCTAGAAATTAAAAAGGTTGTCCATTGCAAGCATCACTTGAAAAWTGGTAATGTGAAGAAAATTGAATACAGAACTTGGTTCACAATAATGCTTAAAAAAGTTCTGAGTGTTCTGGTTGAATTTATCTCTGCTTTACTCTATGGTCAAATTCTTCCTGAATTCTTCTTCCTCAAATATGAAGAAAAGTGTTTACATAAGGGATATTTCTTGGTTTTAAAAAATAAACCAGTTATTTTTACTTTATTTCTGTTGTACTCCTATCACGTAGAATCAAATACTAAAGGTCAAAATACTGCATTTTTTTTGCACAATTAATTCAAGTCACCTGACTTACTCTAGATTTACATATGGACACATAGGATCTAAATAAAGACTACCAAAGTAGCATTTTGTTGTGCTGCTGCCTGTTAATTTCTAGCAGCCACAGAGATTCTTTAACTTCTACTAGAGGAGACCAAATATGTATGGAATCTTTAGATTTGCAAAATCCTACATTAAAATTTGCACAGCAAGCACACAGCTATTCTTTTGCCATTCTTCAAGTGACTAGCTGCTTTCACAAATAGGTTTATTTAGAAACAATATGCATGGCATGTGGGTATGTTGATCACTTAACTGCTGTTTCCACATGCAGCTTGAAAATTAGCAACAATTAACAGTTTCACTTTCTTTGATTAAATCTTTTCAAATTTCCAGGTTTTTTTCCTTGAATCCAAATATGGATGACAATTCAAAGTAGTGCAAACCATGAATTTATTCCTTTATTGTATTTTGTTGACAATGCTATAGAGAACTATGGGGGAAAAAGTGCTGTTATCTTTGCATCACAGGCAACCCAAAAGCTTCACCAAGGAAGCAAATCACATTCTTTGGTCTTTGCTTTAATGCTGCATAGGTGGAAATTTACRTTACAGCAATATGAGAACACAGAAAAAAATAATATGAGGGGAGTAAAACAAGTAACCAAAGAAAGTGGAGTGAGGAGTATTCTAGGAAAGTTTGACTTCTGGCAGTTTTACATCAGAAAACTTGTGGGAAAAGAAGTATTCCTACAAAAAGAAAAAGTAAAAGAAACAGTCAATGAACATTTTGAACATGAGATTGGATAAAATATGGTTTCAGTGCATACAGAAAGAGATGGAGGGAATAAAGTCAGGCCTGCAGAATCCTGAAACCCAAGTGAGGACTAAAACATAGAATTCACTATTTCATTTCTGACCATCATTAAGGGGAAAGTTTAGATCAAAATACTTGGCTACGATATTAGATGAAAAAAATRAGAGAACTGCAATAGTAACTTTGGCCAGGTGAGACTGAAGATTAATGTTCCATTTTYGTTTGATTTTAAGCCAAGACAGGCTGCATTGATTCCTGACCTAGAGAAATACCCCTAAACATGCCTGTCTTTTTGCAGTTATACTGGTTATTCTCAGATAACCAGAAACTCTTAAGAAGCAAATTAACTTCTGAGACATGAGAATTCAGTAATAAATCTTCTGCTGAAAATAAGGGCACCCAAGGGATTTGATTGATTTATTTRTATTTACTTTGTGTTTAAAGAAAAAATTAAATCCTACTGATTTTGCATAGGAATGYATTATATTATATACACTTATATGTTGGGCTGAATATCTAACTAGTCAGMAAGAACCATCTCATAATGAACTCTGTGTGACAGAACTTCTACATTCTTCCAAAGACCACTTAGGTCACTGGACTTCTGATGGCCACAGAAGACTAGCAGGTCTTGCATAATGGGGAACACAACAGACTTTGAAATTGTTTTGTGCAAAATACAGCTCGCATGGCTAAGAATAATAAAATGTTCAGGATACTATTATTTTTGTTAAACATGTGCTGTTTTCTGTCTGTCAAGCAGGCCTGGRGCATAAGAAGTAGAGAAACACTGAGAGATAAGGTTTTTTTCCTGATATTTATGGTACTTCCAAAAATTCTATAAACTAACATCTTCCCCAATTAAATCAAAAAATCCTTTTATTTACTAACTGCATAAGGAAAAATACTGTAATGGTGAAGCTCGACAAGCAGTAGGTGATTGCCTGCAGCACTGAAAGGCAGGTCTGTTCTGTGTATGCATAGTGCCCTCTATTGGCACAGAGGTACAAGCGCACTCAGACGCTCACAGATCCCAGCATCCTGGATAACTCAGAGCGTCTTCCAGGCAACTTGAGAGCCTCATCACATTATTAAGGAAAACTATTGGCACACCAGGACTACTACATCCATCTAGAGCATTCACACTGAAACCAGGCAATATTTTAGCCTATTAGAAACATGTTTAATTAATTGCAACCTTCCCCATCCCTGTACTTTGCAAYTTTGAGAAAACACAGATTTGCAGACACCCCTAGAATTTAGAACAATAATACCCTTCATATGATCTTTATTTGTTAAAGTTTTTCATATTCAAGGGGCGGAGGGAAGAGAGGGAAGCTAATATAGGAAAATGTGTTAGGTATGTAAATTGGACAAAGATAAATTGTATSCATAAACAAATGTAAATATGAAGCTGACACATATCATGTGACATTGTTAACGTCTCCTGACAGCATAATACAGATAACATAAGGATATTTAAAGGTGCACTTTTAAATTTTTTGTGGCAAGAGCAGTTTTAGTATTTATCAGTAAGTCATCTGTACCTGAATCAACAGTCCGAGATTAAGAACTGGATGGGACTTGTGGGTTCATTTCAACAGAAAGTAATCTTTTTTAGGTATGTTTTTCTTA